AAAAAAAAAAAATCAGTTTCCTGTTTTTGAAGAAGAAACTGATTGATCAGTTTTGTTTTGGAGGAATTATGTAAAAAGTGAGCGAAAATGTCACCTTTTTTTCTTTTTCTTTTTTAGAATACTGCAGTTCGTCGGTCTAGCAGACAAATTAAGCGCAAATGGAGGTCAAGTGATATAGCCGAAGGTTCTAATTCTTTTAAACATTTCTATATTATTCAGTTGAAATAACCCGAGATTTTATCATTAAAATGTATATTTTCTGCAGTTTTTCTAAAATATGATTTTTTTTCTTATTTGGAAAGTTTACGGTAGTTTTTAGTGATAGCCAACACAACTGTTTGTTCATTTTGCTGTTTTTTAGATAGTCCAGCAAAAAATGGAAGAATGAAAACTTCGCCAAGAAATTCTTCAAAAGCACAAATATATGGTACAGCACAATTGAAAAAGTTTTTTTTTCCAAATATCTTCGGTTAATGAGTAACCTCTATTGTTGTCATCTTTCTTGCAACAGTTGTTGACATTTATAATGATTGCGATAGGTTGAAAAGAAAAGAAAAAAGTTTAGTTTTCTAAATTTTATAGAGACTGGTCCAATTAAGGGCGTTATCCGTGTTGGTGATAATTATCAGGCTGATGTTCCAGAATGGCTTGAAAATGTCAAACTGGAACCGTTATCTGAGTAAAAAATTTTTTCTAATTTTTTATAATACTATTAAATTGTATTTTATGTTTTTTTTCCCCTACTAGAATTTTTAATCAAATTAACATTATTAAAGCAATTATGGCAGTCATTTTTTTTTAATTTGTTCTAGAGATGACGAAAATGAAAAAGAAGAATGTTTATGGAAGTATGATGGTAGCATCAATCTTCTCGAGTTGGAGCAGTATTGCCAAGCTGCAAGACGACAGTTTGGAATGGATCCATCAAATGTTAGCAATAAGCAATTTATTGCTATTTTTTCTGCTACATTATTAACATCACTAACTTTGAGTGTTAGTTTTGGATGAGAACAGAACAGACAAGTATTTGATAGACTGGTAGATCATCTACCTGAGGGTGACGCTGAATACACGGTAATGTGGCGTGTTTTTGTCTAGGTTTTTCTGTTTGTCCTGTTATTTTTGTGTGTGTCTGTGGGTATATGTATGTGGTGATTATTGCCATTACTTGCAGAAGCCTATTAGAATTTTTTATTCACAAACAAACAAGTTTTTCTCTTCTGCATTAAGAAATGGATTTGGTAGGCAATAATGTCATACTTAAGCTATTAGAGTAGAAGCAATTGTCTCTGTGTGGGTCTGTGTTTGTGTGCTGATGAGTCTGTGATGCCTGTGGTTGTTCGTGTGGCTACTTTTACGTTTGATATACGTTTGTGTTTGTGTTTGTATTTGCGTGTGTACTTTTCGGTGCCGTATGTTTGCATGCGTAAAAATGTTTGTACGTTTTTATATGCAAAAATATCCATTAAATTACGGAGTATAGCATATGATTAACCACAGCAGCATTTCACTAGCTTTTATCTTTTCAACAATGAAATACTTGAAAATCTCACTGACGGCAGTATGCATTTACCCAGTGTTATGCTGTGTTGTTGGGTATATCAAAAAAGGAATGTTGTTGTCGGCTGTTGAATATCCGTTTTCTTTTACACAGCAACTGCTTTGTATCCTTATTAGCTGTTGATTGTCGCCAACAACCAGTTGAACTGGTCTTGTCCATTTCATTAATTCTTATATTCATTCGGTTCAGTGTCGGACAATTCTCAAAGCTTTTGGAGGACTGGTAATTATCTGTTTGATAATATGTTTACTACAAATGTGATTGTGTGCTGTGAATATTATTTACTGTTAGAGCGGACTTTACGAGCA